CCGAGGTAAGGGTCCGTGTCCCCTCCCCAGCACCCCTTAGTCTCGCAAACTTTTCTTTCCCCTCTTTCATTCACGGCGGCTTCGGATTTGCAGCGCCCCGTCCCCTCCGCCGGGAGCCCCGGGGTGGCAGGCGAGCGCGCTTGGCAGGGGCTAACGAGCTCCGTTTGTTTTCTTTCTTTGCTTTCGCAGAGCCTGGATGGGGACCAAGCCGTACTCCAGAGGATCAGGAAATACGTGAAAGCCATTCACGTCTCCGGGCTGAGTGAGTCGTGCTTCGAGGAGCTGATGGGCATCTCCGGGCCTCCACCGTCCCATCCTCCACCACCGCTGGTCACCGGTTGTCCGCGGGGTGATGCAGTCGGATAGTTGGATGGCCACGGGTGCTGGCCGGCCAGCACGGCAACACGATAGGGTGCCCAAAACTGGCTAAAAAAAGGGGTAAAAAGGGAAATCGAGAAGCTTAGGGAGGTTGTTTAGGGCACACCGCTGCTGTCCTGCAGCAGGATGAGCCCGGCTCTGCTACGGAGGGATGGGGAGGTGGGTGTTGGTGGGACATCGTGATGTGGCCATCTCCCAGGGACAGGAGGGCCACCCCATGTCCCTCACCGGTGTCTCCCCACGCAGCCCACGTGGAGAACGAGGAGCAGTACAGCGAAGCTCTGGAGAACTTCGGCAACAACCACCTCTCCCAGAACAACCACGAGCTCTCCACCGGCTTCCTCAACCTGGCCGTCTTCACCCGCGAGGTCACCGCACTCTTCAAGAACCTGGTGAGCCACCGGCCCGCTGCTGAGATCGTGGGGGAGGCTTGAAGGGGGGGGGAACAGGGGGTTTGCGGCATCTCCGCTGCAACCTCAGGCTGTTCTCTGCCCCCGGTTATTGTCAAGCTGGGGAAAATCTCCAGGATCCATCCGGATTTGGAAAAAAAAACCCCAGTGCAGCCCTCTCTTCTCCCGATTCAGCTGTCCTCCACCACTGTGGGCAATCCACAGCTCCCACCCCAGGCTGAGGGACACACTCCCGGTGCTCCCAGACCATCCCGTACCCCCCGTTGCTGGATTTACAGCTCATTCCCAGCTCCGCCGGCACCGCCGACGCTGGGATTTGATGGGCGGTTGGGGCTGCTATTTTCTTTTTTCCCTTTCTTTCTATGTTTTTTTTTTTTTTTTTTTTTTTTTCGCCTTATTTCCTTTCTTTTTCCTCTTTCCAAAAA